TCCCTATGATTTTTTGGCCCGCTGAGTGTTTCATTCACATGTTGGTGATCTCAATGAAAACGGCATCAAAAGCGGATTATTTAACATAACGCAAACAGCACTGACAATCGGATGATTGACCCGTATCGACGTTTCTGCACGTAACTCGCAGACATTCTATAATGTAAGAAGTTGACTGAGTTTTGGAAGTTTTGCTTGTTGTCCGAAGCTATTGGTACATTTGGAGCCAGCCGTATTTTTTGATGCTTTCAGTTTCTTGCTTGTTTATGAATTGTTGTTTCTATCTTATACTAGTCTTCATGGATTTTACTTGATCCTCAAAGAAATATCTGGCGATTTCTCAGTAGGGCAAACTGGAAGCCACTGCAGCAACGCATCAAAATTTATTGCGCACCTTCAGTAGGCAAACCGATTTGCGTAACGCAGGACACAAACCCTGATGAAGTTGTCGTTGACGAACTGTTTGACCGTTACGTGGCTGCTTTGACTGAAATGTTTGAAAATGGAAAGAAGAAGTACTCTTTGCCTGATAAAACTAAGCTCAATATTTTATAGCATATATGCGCTAAAAGACATTGTAATGGTCTATGCATCCTCAGCAGAACGCTTTGTCGGCTCAGTACATTCATTCTGTACAGAGCTCGTGCAATGTTGCTGACAGTTCGGAACAAAAGACAATTTTGCTTCCTTTGTTATTGTGTGTGATTAACGTTAAGAATGGAGAAACATCACTGATTAGTAGAAGTAAATTTAGATTAGCAACTAATCATGTTTATTTATCAATTTTCTGAAAACATTGCATAACGCTTAACTTGAAAGCACTGCATAACATATACTATTTACAACAGCATATCAGTTCTGCACTGTTGTGGCTTCAATGTCATACTGAATTTTTCGGATCACATATAAACGTTTACCAGTAGCATTTCCGACTAGTCAAGTGCAGTTGTTGAAAGAAGTAGAAAAACTGTACTTCACACAGAAAAACAAATAATCGATTTTCAGAGAAAGCCAAGTTTACATGAAGGCAACGTCGGCGTAGCCGGAAAGGTTCGGCAATTAGTTCTTATGGAAAGCATCTACTCAGAAAACAAAGGCGTTGTCGTTGTTCCTATTGGTGGCATCTAGCACAATTGATGTTGAACAGCATGACCATAGAAACAAATTTGTTCGTGGCCTTAGCAGTTTCAGGCTGAAACAAGTTGTCGTGACGCCTTCATGTTTAAAACAAGGAGCATTTGGAGTCCGAAAGCTAGTCCGGTTGTTTGCTGATAATTTCTTTGGATTACATTTCAACAGTCTGCTAGAAAACAACCGCGACTAAGTTTTAGTCACAAGAACTGCTTTAAGGCATCTTTAATTAAACTTTCTCAACAAGACAATGAATTACATAAATATAGCCCTGCAGACCGCAGAAGAAAAGGAACAAAACTGTAACAGCAAATAACAGTAACAGTGCTCTCAACAACGGAAGGCCAGCTACGTCTCCAAGAGCAAAGAAATATATGGTTTCAGTTTGAATGAGCATTGCCAACAGGCTGACCAGACCTGGCCTGAGATCGTCAACACAACTTCAAAAACTTTTTGTGATTCTGTTTATGTTGTAAAGGCGCGCATGCTTCTTTCTGCAAGGCCAGATTAAGGCGCGTTTATTAAGTTAGGCGGGTTGACCATCTACTTCAGGCGGATTCATTGTGACCTAAAAATGCACGCTTCAGAAAATAGTTGTGGTAACAAGAAGCTGCAACGTTCACCAGTAACTTCATTGGCGTTGCCGTTGCACGGATGGTCACCGTTACTTGGTCAAGTAGATGCAAAGTCTGCAGAATGGGTTCGCCTTGTGCATTGCGTTTTCGCCACTGCAACTTCAGTTCCGGCGTGTCTACATATTCCTGTCCGATTAAATCCAAATTCTACAATCATACAACAATTGAAAAATGCATGATCAACGGTATAAATCTGGTCTTCGAGGAGTCAAGTGTTATTTAACAAACTCCGACGTAAGAACAACTTACGATGTTCATGTGGCAGTCCAGCAGGAGTGCCAGCCCCTAAAGCATCATTCGCAAAAAGCGTGAAGTGGCTCTAGTAAACAAAATGACGCAATATGAATGTGGCACTTCAGGAATTCAAATACCTGCTTAAGTAGCCCCTAACAATTACGAGCAAGGAGCGGTCCAATATGCCGTGAAATCTTATCTTGGAAGAGCTATGCGCTATTTAATATACTCCGGCGTAAGAACATGTTTGAATTACTTAACTTTATTTCCTTAAGATAATTTCTAGAGATCCCAGTCAAATATTAATAAACACCTTGATCCTACCAAATGCGTAACTTTCCTCCAAGAAAAATTAGACTTTAATATGTTAATAAGAAAGTCCAAGCGGAAGCAGAACGTCATAGACTGTCATGACCTCATACCACTGGAAAGTCTGAAAAGTGTCATTCTGCCAATTAGCGCAGGACTCCATCATCTATTGAAGCGATGCAATCACCGACTCCTTGTACAAGGGGAAAGGGGTCAAAAACGTAATGCAGCAGTCGCCACTTGCCAATATCGCTCCTTTCACTTACATACTAGGTCTTTACAGATATTCTGCTGGCGAGGTTGAATCCCTTTCTCATCAGGTGTCGCCACCCGCAGCAGTTCGGCTTCACCGCCAGCCGCCCGACAAATAACGTGATTTTGACGATAAGGTGACTATCAGAAATACAGTAAGAATTCAGCCGATCCCTGCGCGTAACCCACTTAAATCAGAGATCGCCTCTGACTCAGAGAACCACGCAGCACTCAACGACACCAGTTCCCCGGATCTGTTGTTGAACCCTTTACGCCACCTATAAAGCGGGACGTGGGCTCGTATTAAGAGAGGTTCAGCTCTCTCAGAACAATTTTCCACATTGTCGTGATGTGAGACAGAGGAGACATGCGTGCCTCCAC